GTGATAGAGTTCAGCTGAAGTCATTCTTTGGGGGGATATTTTGAGGTCGTATTTTATCTCATAGGCTATAGTAGGATTATTTCCCTCCATAAATCTGTACCGGAACTATTTTGGAACGTCTCTGTCACAAGCTGTCTACTGAGTTATGCGTAGGGAATAGTATCTGCTAAAGAGAATTGAGCAGCATGTGGACCACTTTTTCTGTGCAGGATGGAAATCTTTCAAAGCAGGTGTAGAAAAATACAATTACGTGTAGAAAACATACACATTTGAATAAATAGGCAGCTCAGATTCCCTCATTCTCCACATGTATGAAACACGTTATGGTAAGGTTTTGGGTTTTTAAAATTGTAAATACTGTAAAAAAAATTCAAACACTGAAAAGATACTGTGTAAAAAGTTAAAATTTTTCATTTTTCTACTTTCCCAGAGATGTCACTGGTAAGTGGGGTTGGTATTATGTGATATTAAGAAGAAACAGTGTAAGGATTACATTTGAAGTTTTGTCAAATGTATCTATTTTGGTGTCTCCCTCTGTATCAACTTTTACTCTAAAATACGTGGCTATAAAGTAGTTTATTCCTGCTTTCTAAGAAAGCATAGTGAGCCTCAGTGCTAGTTTAAATCTTAGATCTATCACTTGCTGTATAACTTTGGGCAAGTTCATTTCTGCTTTGTAAAACAGTAATATTATTGTGAATATTAAATAAACCATACAAAATTCCGTAAGAACTGCTATGTAGTGAGTGCTTCCCAGACTATTCCCTGAAGGCATGTATTCAGTTTTTACGTTCACTGCTGCATCTCAGTGTCTAGTAAGCTGGTGTTCTAAACAGCATTAGACAGCCAAGGAGACCATAACTAAGTCCTAAGATGCTTTCATTTCTTGAGAGTCTTGGAAAGAGTCACTCTATCTTGGTTTTAAAGGTAGGGTTTTTTACTAATATAATTTTATGCCATAAAATCCACTTTTAATGTGCAGAGTTTAGTCATTTATAACAAGTTGTGCAACTATTACCATTCCTGAGTTCAGTATGTCTAGCCGTCACCCCCCTTTCTTTCCTCCTCGGCCCCGGCAAATCCTCATCTTCTGTTGTCTCTGGATTTCCTCTTGTGGACATTTCATACACATGGAATCATTCCAGTGTGTGACTTCCATGTCTGGTCCTTTCATTTAGTTTGCAAGGGCCATCAGGTGGTAGCATGTATTTCTTTTTATGGCTAAGCAATATTTTCTCTATTCATCAGTTGGAGTTTTGGATTGTTTCTTATACTTTTTTAGCTGTTATGAATAATGGTGCTTTGAATGAAAACATTTTGTACAGACATGTTTTTAGTTTTGTTGGATACATACCTTGAAGTAGAATTGGTGGGTCATATGGCAACTATGTTTAATTCTTTGAGGAACTGCAGACCATTTTTTAATACCCTCTGATTGGGGTTTATCATTGAAGTCTGCAAGTCTCTGAAGAGATCTGAATGACTAAATATCTCCGTAGAAATGTCCAAAGTATAAATGGCTTATGTAGTGGGGTCTTTACCTATTTTTCCTTCTTGTAGAATCTTCCTAAGAGGACTGTGTCACTATGGTCTTACATAAATAGTCAGCTGGAAGACTTCACTAATCCTCTCTACGGGAGCTATTGCAATCACGTCCTTTATCCAGTAGCCAGCATGCGCCACCTAGAGCTCTGGGTGGGATATTACATAAGGTGGAATCCACGGATGAAACCACAGGTATGCACGCTGCAATATACAACCGGAGTTTTCCACTAAAGTACAACTTTATTAGATTTGTCTCCTTTACAGCAACTAAACAACTATCTGTGCATGTTTAAAACTTTCTACTCTACGTACTAATAGTTACAACTGTGCAGGGAAAGAGCACTGCACTGGGATAGGGTAATCACAGTACCTGAACCTTGATTTTGCTAGTGCTGACTGAACAATTCACTTCTCTATCTGGATAACTTTCAGGGAACTTAAAGAAAACAGCTTTTGGAAAATAAAAAATTCCATTCATTTTAAATGTTATGGAATATTTACTACCTATTCAATTAAAATCTGCAACTAAATGATAAGGTCTGAGTATTGTCTTGTTAATTAATTGTTTTACTTGGAAAAGTACCAGTTTCAGGACTATCTCCACAGGGAGTACTCTGGAAAAACTGGGAATGCCAGTAAAAGAGGAGTATTGTCAGTGGTCCCTGAACTTAATTTCTAGATTGGAAAGATAGGATTGGTCCCAGTGGCTTAAAAAACACATGCTGCAACATTTGGGGAATGACTTGACCTTGAATTTGATTAGGACTGCTTGGTTGAATTTTATGTTTGCTTTTGTAGGAACCTATTCACAGCAGATATAAAGAACTTCTTGCTAAACGAGCAGAGCTTCAGAAAAAAGTAGAGGAACTACAGAGAGAGATTTCCAACCGATCGACCTCGTCCTCAGAGAGAGCTGGCTCTCCGGCACAGTGTGTCACTCCTGTGCAAACTGTTGTCTGATGGACTGTTACATCATTGCTACGAACTCCTAATTACAGTGGCAGCTTTAGGAATAGAAAGCCTTCCGAACTGACATCAATGACAGAAAGTTCAGCTGGTTTATTTTAAATCTTTCTAGGGTAAGTTTAGAACTATAGCGGTACAGGTGGCTTACATTAAATAACTCCATATGTAATCACACGATTATGACACTAATCTTACAAGTCACTCAAAGAATATTAAAATACTTCAATCCTAGATCCACAGTAAATTTCTGATATTAAAAAAAATGTCTTGTAAGTTTTGGCATCTGCTAAGATGAAAATACAAAGTACTTTAAGAGAGCTCACTGCGCAGAGTAGGAGAACATTGAAATTCTGTGGCACTGGCCTCGATGTCATGATCAAAATCACTGGACAGCCCTTTCTCCATCCTAGATTCTTCTTTTCTGTAGTAATTGATTTATGTTGATCACTTTGCCTTTCACTATATGCAGAATGTGGAAGGTGAAAAGTCTTGAGGATATTATGGTGTAGTAGTAGAAAATTATCACTGTAATTAATTATTTATATACTTATTTAAGATATATTAGATAGCTTGTTCCAAAATGATGCCTTATAGCTATGTTTGGGGGTAAGTGAAGGGGAGAAAGTGGCACTCATCCAGGACTCAAAGAATCGCACACCCTTCAGATTCATTTCTATTTGCTCCATTACAAGAAACAACATGGAAAAACTCTATTTGCCCCACTTTATTTTAATTTCGTGTCCAAACATACAGAAGCTAATTGGCAGGTTTGAAGCAATATTTAAAAATCTTACTTAGGACTGACTTTTCTTGAAGTCTGTATAAATAGATTATGATGAGAATTATTATTAGGCTTAAGTTTTACATTACATATAATTTCCTTTGCAAATACTGTAATTCCACTGAATGATTAAGTCTACCAAAGAACATACTGCATGTAATTTCAATGCCAGTAAAGTAAGAAAGAGTTCAGTGCTAGTATAAACATTTGACTCCCTGATGTATATTTTACTGTACACAAGAGCCATATGTGTAATGTACTGTAACAAAGGAGCTTCATGTCCCTTGGTCTTTTAATTAAAAGAAATTTAAACTGACTTTTAAACTGTGTCCTTGTCTAATGTTTAACTTTTTCCCCATGACTGTTACTTTTAAGCTTTTGAGTATTACACACCTCCAATGGAAATCTTCAATTTGAACCCATTTTCCCCCTAACACACTAATCAAACAGTAAGCAAAACTATAATTTTTTTTACTCACTACATCATTGTACACATCATCTGAACCTAGCCCTGCTTCATCTTGTGATGAGGAAACAGTTTGTATTACTACACTGAATATTAGAAAAATCAGGACCAAGATGATTTGGTTATTGTGTGATATTTGTTATAAGACAATTCTTAATGGTATTTAAGTCTCATCTTAGTGTACTTGCATCCACTTCAAATTCTCCTCAAAAGTCAGAGAAATATAAGTGAAAATCTATCATTTTCAGGTTCAGAACCTTCCAGTGGCTTCTCTTCTTACAGGAATCTCTAAATTAAGAGTGCATTTACTTGAACATTTAAGATACACAATTGGTATGTGTGTGGAAGGGTTTAAAGCAGGGGTGCTTACAGTTTTTACATCTCTATACAAAACTTCTAAATTGACAGTTGTGTTTTGTAACTTTATCTATGAATATTGACTGTGCACATGTACTTTATTCTTTATGATCAGGGATATAAAATTTAGAGAACTTGTGTGACCAGATTTTACTTCTTCCCCTACCCCTATTTTTATGTTCCAGCGCTTCTCAATTCCCCCAATCTTGTAAACTTGGAACAACTGTTATCCCTGTGACTGACAGGTCTTATTCTGTAGAGTTTAGGCATTATTTTTAATTCACCTCTCCCAGTGCCCTGCCCTCCTCGGTGTGCACGACACTGTACGTGGCCATTACCAGCAGAGCCACTGCACCGGACTGAAGTCAACAATTCAGATGTGCACCACTGGCCTGGAGACATACTTTTCTTATGAAGCCTGGTATCCATGATGGCAGCTCAGAAAATACTTATGTATGAATTACACATAGAAAATACTCCTGAAACAAACGGTGAGCCCTGCTGTCGTGAGTGGATGGATGACAACATACCTTGTCCTGTTAACTCTCAGATAAGAACCTGGAGCAGTATTTTCTTGTTTTCAGTTCTGCCCTGAGAGTGTCAGGAGCTGGAGTGAATAATTATCTCAGTGTGAACACTAGCTGACAGATGGGCTGGGATTTAGCATCATTCAATTACTCTTCTCCTAATTAGGACTCAGAGCCACTAGAATTCAAATGATGGTTATACAATTTAATGACCTGAAATTCAAAAAAGGAGATAACAAAGTTTAATAGTTGAAATAGTAGTGGTTGAGACACAAATATTTACTGTGACACCCGAGTAGGGATTTTCAGTTTCTTCGCGTCTACAGGGTCACTTTACTGTTGTGAATTTGATCAAGATACAAACCTGCTTATCAGAAAATTGCACACACCAGCAAAAGGTTACATACAACTTTAGGAAATTCATGGCTCAAAATCTACTTAAGGATCCTAAATTAAGAACTCTCAACTGTAAAAAGACTTGACAAGCCTGTGCTCAGGTAGCCACAATAGTTCATTCTGGCTGTCTGGCTGTAATCCTAAAACTCCATTATCAATCACTTCCACGGAGGCATATAAAAGGCATTCCCTTAATATGTGGCTAATGTGTGCATTAGCACTTTTGTCATGGATGATAAGGTAATTCAACCTTGTTGGGCTTACTTTCTATGTAAGCATGAGAATGGGAAATTAGGTAACAAATAAATATACATTCTTAGTTTCTCATAATTAATAATGTTCTATTTAGAAATGTACTTTTTGAGCATTTACAACAAAGCCTTTATTAAGAGCTGCTAAGTTTCCGCTTTTCCTTAAAAAAGCTGCTTTATTTACTTAAGTGGTAAATTTATAAAAAGTTAACATTTCTTGATCTATTAAAAATTATATCAGTACAATAATTGTGCACAGTTCATATTACATTCATACTGTACACTAGTAAAAGCAAATATTCAAGGGGTCCTCTAAATTTCAAGATTAAAAACCAGAATACCTTGACAAAATAGCATGATTATAAACAGGTATTTAAAAACTGCAAGGATATATATGGTCACAACAGTGCCCTTGCTTTCCCCCATTCTAACGTTATTTCAAAATCTCATTTAATTGACAATTTGTTTATACTTTTAAAAATTCTTTCATAAGGTTAATTTCATCAGGTAATTCACTGAAAATGATTGCCTGGGTCTTTAAACATTTTTTAGCAGTGGATTAAAAAGCAATACTAGTGCATTTAATAGTGATCAGTGTTTGAAATGCCAAAAAGCAAAACAAAAAATCCTCTTAAATACATATATAAATATTTACATGTAAAAACATATTGAAAATAGAAATATTGATAAACTCCATCATTAGCAGAAACAATATTTAATTGGTGTACTGGAAAAGGGAAGTGGGCACTTCATGCCAGGGGAAGATTTAAAAATGAGACTTTTTAAGCAAACACTGCCTATAGGATAGCCTCATATTTTGCAAATTTAAACCTAATTTTATTATCTACTGTATAATGAACTATTTTAAAAAATCACATCCACAAGTAAAAAATTGGTAATTTGTTTACAAAGAGCAATATACCAGTACAGGAAATTTATCTAAAAGAAACAGATTATATGTGGCTTCTTAGGCTTAAAACTCCCCTGGTTTCCATTTAAATGGTTTAACATTTAGTCATGCTGCATACACAAACATTTAGTATAATGAAGCTTGGGTTTCTTAATACCTGCTACTCATTAATTCCAACTAAATATGAGGTCTGGAAAGTAAATTGTCAAAATCTGATCGATGAGGTACAGATTATCTGAATAAAATTTATGACCTGGTGCAAGTCAGTAATCCCAACACAAACTATTGCTCTGTAAAGAATTCTGTATGGTCTGCATGTCCTTCAATAATTGAAGATTTTTCCTGCTCTTTTCTCCAGGTCTGGGTTTGGCACAATCCTTCCTATTTGTGGTCCCTCCTGTGATCCCAGAAGAACGGCTGCTGCTGTTCCCTTCTTCATCCAGAGTTTTTTTGGTAGCTTTTAATTCCCTCTTCTGCTTCTCCAGCTTTTGTCTCTCCAGCTGTACCAAACAATGAAGACAGGAAAAAGAGAATTTAAAGAAAATGTTCTCTCATGCCAGCTGGTACTTGTTAAAGTAACTGGCTTACAGAAACTCAAATAATATGATCTAAGTTTATTTTTTTAAAAGCTTCAGAAGTCTTTTGTACTAGTCATTTAACAGTCAGGGCTTAAAATACATAATACGTAAGCACGTAAATGAGAGAAAACCGTAAATTCTGGTATCATGTGGTACTGTTGCCAACGAAGCACAAGCTAGGGTGAGTGAGAGGCTGGGAGGAAGGACTCACGGAGGGGACACTGGAAAGAGGGAAAAGCCTTCTGAGAAACTAGTCTGAGCAGGCAAAGCACATTCCAGACACACCAAGCCATGAAAAGGAGTTTTCATTTTATTCTCATTCCATTACTTTTAGAATAATTAGAAAGAAGGGAGATTTATTTAGTGTTACTTTAACTGAACTAGCATGTTTGTGTTCCATTAGAATAAAGTTTAATCAGTACAAGCAATGAATTAGACCACTGCTCCTACAGAAATCATTTACAACATGAAATGTGGAAAAAGTACTTTAAAAAAGCCCACATTTTAAAGTTGAAAAGACTCAAGTATGCATCCCAGCTCTGCCATTTACAAGTGAGCTACTCCATGCTTGGCAAGTTAATTGAGGATATAGGTTCATTTCCCAGAAAACTTGGTTCAGTTTCCTCATCTATAAAATGGGAACAATATATTTACTCACTTTACAAGCCTTTCATGGACATTAAATAAGATATACTGAAAGCGCCTGACGCTGTGTTGTCTATCATATGGTCACCAGGGAACAGTCAAACTCACTCTGCTCCATTGCAGTCAACGGTACAACAATCCTTCCTAACTGCTCTTCCTCCATATGGTGTTCAGCAGCCAACAATCCTGATACTTCTATTTCCAAAACATAACTCAAATCTGTCTACCTCTCCCTCCTCCGTCACTGTCTCCACACAATGCCACCCCCTAATAACCTCTGCTAAATGCTAACAGCCTATCTCGTTTTACAGCCTTAATAAATTAAGTAGTTATTTAGTAACAGTAATTTAATAATAATTTAATTAGTAACAAACATAACTAAAGATTTTTTCACATATTTATATCTGACTTTTTCTTTGTAAATTGAGAATTTCTAGGTACATTTTAGAAGATTTACTTGGGTTAAACTCTGAACTATTTAAATCTATCATAGATGGTAAGGTAGTTTTCATAAAGAATATTAAATTCAAAGAGAAACCTACTCTAAGTAACTAAAAGACATTGTCTTCTTTCCTAATCCACTTAACATCCATTCTTAATAATTAATGCACTTAATGAGGGTCTTCAGTAAGTAAGTATCTCCTGTAGCTCTTATCTACGACACACTTAGTGCCGTCACTTAGTGTACTCCGTTATATAGGGACCACCTCCTCAAGCTGATGCAATCTTCAGACTAGACGTGCACCACACACACGTATCAGTTGAGCCATCCAGTGCTTTATGCTGACCAGTTTGTTACACTCCCTTGGATGAACAGAGGTTCTACTGTATTTGAAGAAAAGTGTTTATTTTTGTTTTTCAATCATTAGAAACTTGAACGAAGGAAAATTAAGTTACCTGGGCTTGGTATTTTCGAACTTTAGTTATTTGATTGGCTTTTGCCTCCATCCTTCCCACCAATGCCTCCAGCTCACACTCTAAGTTTTCTTTCAGCTCTACGGTTGGTGACTCTTGGATAAGTTTTGCAAGCTGCTGATGATCACTATATACAAAGTAAAAGTAAAGTTTAATGAAGTTTTCTGTGTTTCATGGTTAGGTCCATTATACCTCACTCACCATGGAGTCACTGCTCTATGTGTCAAAGAGATTCAATTTTTTGAACAGAGCAACAAGTTTTTAAATTATCAGTGACAATTTAAAAAGTTCACAGAGGCACTGGACACAAGTGCAAAAGGGTTCTATTTTCAAAGTGTAACTTATATTTCTATTTCCCCAACAAGAGTATCACACATGTAGAAAGGAAATTCTAGAGAAGTTACAACCTAAATTAATGTACAGTCATGTGCCACATAACAATGTTCTGGTCAACAACAGACCAATATAAAACAGTGGTCCCATAACATTTTAATACTGTGTTTTTAGTGCACTTTTTCTATGTTTAGGTACATAAACACTTACCAGTATGTTACAAATGCCTACAGTATTTGGCAATAGTAACATGCTATATTTTGTAGTCTAGGGTATACTAAGGGTGGGAACCTGTGTCCTTCTAGATCCCCCAGGGTAGCCCTGACCAATCCAAACTTCACTTCCTTTTAACAAGGATTGGTTCTGTAAAATCAGGATTCAGTCAAAAGGCTGCATTCAAGGACCCACATGTGGCCCCAATATCGTATAGCTTAGTGTAAGTAGACTCTATGATGTTAGCATAATAGCAAAATCGCCTAATTATGCATGTGTCAGAATATATCCCCAGTGTTAAGTGATGGATGACGGTACATAAGCCCCTCAAACAAAGAAATAAAACTTAACGTAAGCCCCGGTCTTTAAAGCACTTAACAGTATTAGAGAAGGAGAGCTCCTTCCCCTTAACACGTGTATCTGTTATGTCCCAGCAAACTGGCTGCTCAGCAGTATTTTCTGAACACATGAAAGTAAGATTAATAAAGGCATGAAAAATTAAAAGTAAGGTTTAAAAAAATGAAAACTACAACTCACAAGCTCATTTGCCCAAATTCATCCTGTAAGGTCTGTAGGACTTCTGACAGCTCCTCGCTAATGCTGGGGGAGGGGGACGGTGTCACTGACAGCTTCTTACTCTTAGCACCGCGTGAAGACACTTGTTTTGCCAAAGGAACGCTGTTGATGACCCGATCGTTGCACAGAGCTTTACTGTGCTGCTTCATTAGATGCAAGACGTGCTGGACATTGGCCACCACCGCGTGGCTGGGAGTGGTGGACTAAAGAGAAATGAGGACACAAAGTACTATCTGAAGACACCTCCTCTCATCTGTTTTCCTTTTACTCCTTAGTCTGAGTAAAAAGATTCCAACCCTGCCTCCGTTAGAAATTTCCTCATTCTTACCACTGACAAAGAATGTCCCATACATTCAAGCTCCAAAATAACTGCAACCCACCTCCCACTGATAGTCACTGGCTTATTCACCCATCTCTTTAGCTGTAGGAAGAACATCTCAGGTGATCTTTCTGCTTCCCTTCTCTTCTAATTCCTAAGTCTATCATTTATCTTCCTAAAATCTATTTGAAAATCTCCTCTGACAAAAATCCATAGACTACAATATCCAGATTCCTTCTGCATGGGAAGTAAGCTCCTACATCAACAAGCTGGAGCCTACACGTCCCCATCTCATGTCCTACTATCTCTTACTTTCTCTCCATTTTTTTGATGAATCATATTTACAGATTAATTTTTATCTGTGTGGCAACTTTATATCATTCTCTAAAATCTGATTCAAATATATTATTTTAAAACATTTCCTTAAAACTGCCAGGTCATTAACTGGTCCATTCTCAGATAATGTATTAACATTTTTAACATAACCCTATCTCAGTATTAATCACAATACACTGTAATTGTGTTTGCCTATTTCATAATTAAGCAGTGTGCATCCAAGTGGCAGAGACGGCTGCTGCACTCATTCTCTACCCTGCAACAGCAGAAACCACTAAGTACGTGTCTGTCACATGAAGAAGCAACACTGGGTCGTCTGCTCAATCTGTGTTTTTGTTCTGGACACTAAACAACACTCAGTGTGCTGCTCCAGTTTACAAGCAGACAGCGAGGCTTGCTCTGGCTCCACAAACATCAGTAGATAGCTTATTTAAAAGAGGTATTTCTCCTGTAGTCCCAGCTACTTGGGAGGCAGAGGCAGGAGACTCGCTTGAGCCCAGGAGTTGGAGGTTGCTGTGAGCTGTGATGCCACGGCATTCTACCCAGGGGGATAGCTTGAGGCTCTGTCTCAAAAAAAAAAAAAAAAAAAAAAGAGGTATTTCTAGGCAGCACTCCAAACTCAATCAGGGTGGGGTCAAGACCTGGAAATTTGTATTTTTAAGTTTTCCAGCTGATTCTGATCAGTCAGACTTGGAAACCTCTGTGCTAGCTAAACAGATGCACTTCTTAAATTTCTACCGTTAGTCAGCAAATTGAGAAGAGCAATATATAAAAAGTATTATAACCACATCTACATGAGGTTTACTACAAGATTGTAAGGCTGACTCAGTATTCTAAAATCACTCAATGTAAATTACTATTTTGCTCATAACCTGTAATATGGATTTACTACACTAATTGCCTATAAGGACACTTTCAACATGAAATATGCAGTAGTTTCTGAAAATTATGTTGCTCCTGTTATTTTTTTGATTATATTTATTAATGTAAAGTTCACCCTTGAACAACATAGGAAATAGGGGCAAAGGGGGGCACTTATCTTCCACGCAGTCCAAAATACGTGTAACTTTTTATTTTCCTAAAATTTAATGGCCTATCAGCAAAGCCTTACCAATAAACAGTTAACATTAAATGTTTTTATGTTATGTTACATACTGCATTTTAACAATAAAGGAAGCTCGAGAAAAGAAAATGTTACTAAGAAAACGTGGAAGCAGATCTTCAGGAAGGTCTTCATCACGTCTTCACGTTAGGAGGCTAAGGAGGCACAGGCAGGAGAGGCCAGCCTTCCTGTCTCCCCATGGCAAAGGCCGGGGGTGGGGGGCAGACACACTTGGGCAACATGACATAAAAACATCATTGTCTGATTTTTGCTTTTTCATTTCCCTCAAAACGTGTTTATACAGCACCAATCCTTATTCCACCACTTACTTTGCTTCCACCCATAGAAAGGTCTATGTTTTAAAGCAAGTCAAAAGCAGTCTAGAATAACGAGAACCCTGTGTCACTCTGTCTTGATGCCAACTTACTTCCTGACACTACTTCTGCATCTTCGTCCTCAGTGTGTGGCAATGGTCTACAAGTCACCTTCTGTTAATTCTTTTGCCATGGTGTCTGTTAGCTCTTGAATTTCTCCAAGATTCCTACCTTGAAACCCCTCAGTTCCCACACCTTTTTTTGCAATATCTACAGTCTCTTACAAGATTTCTTTGACTAACTCTGTTAATTCTGTGATGTCACTTATAACATCTGGATACGGTTTTATCCAGCAAGAATTTATTATTTGGGGCTTGATGACTTTCAAAGCTTTTTCTGTAACAATGATGGCATCTTAAATGAGGTAATCCTTCCAGACTTTCTTGATGTTCTATTGAGGTACTCTTTTTAGAGCACTGACAATGGGCCTTAAAGGGCTTTATAATCCCTGATCTAGAGATCTAGAGGATGAATAAGAGATGCTATTCTGGGGAGGCAATTAGACCATTCTGATGCCTCAAGTTGAACTCATGAGGTTCAAGGTGCCCATGGGCATTGTTCAATATCAAAAGAACTTTAAAAAGCGCTCTGATTGGCAAGGTACTTACTTCGTGACAAAGCATTCATGTAACCAATCCAGAAAAAGGATTCTCCCTGTTCAGGCCTTTTCGTCATACAACCATAAAGCTGGGATTTATCTTTTCCCTTTAAGGCTCGAGGACTAGCAGCTTTATAGCTAAAGCCACTCCCAATCATACAGGTGAACTGCATTTGCACAGAACAATAGAGTTTGCCCAGTCCTTCTTGTCTTAAATCCTAGTGCTTGATTTTTTTTCCTAATAAATGTCCTCTGTGGCATTTTTTTTCCAGAGTAAGGCTCTTCAGTCTGCATTAAAAACTGTCTAAGCAGACATCCTTTGTCTCAATAACTTTCTTAATGACATCTGGGAGCCCATCTGCTGCTGCTGCTTCCCTTGCTATCTCAACATTTTAAAGTCAAACCTCTTTCTAAAATTATCAAACCATCCTTTGCTAGCAGTAAATCCTCCAGTTTTATATGCTTCAACTTTCTTTTGCTTTAAGTTATTATATGATGTCACCTTAGTCTATAGATTAGGTACACCTTTCTTACTGCAATCCTGCACCCACAGAAAAGCTTCTATCACAATACTATATAAAAAGATATTTTGCAAAAAGTGCAAGGTTTTCACACCTGCTAAGATAGTTGCAGGGATGGCCTCAAAAATTTCGTTTTCTTTTAAAATAAAACCAAACCATGGTCTTTCTGCCAGATCCAGTCACTCTGACACGGCAGCCGACTGCCCCGCAGACCTCAGTCTCCAGTGCAGAGCAAGCAGCTCCCCCCTTCCCTGTAGTGTCAGGTGTTTCTTCACGTCTTGGGAACAAGTCCTCCAGGACTAGTGTGGACTAACGTCACCATCTGTAGGGTTACTTTCTATAGGTCCCATGGTGTTACTCAAGGTTTACAGTATTGTACTAATGAGCGAGAACTTAGAGCCCTTTTACCTGTGATATTCAATTTACTAAGAGACATGAATCGCTCATGCAGAGATTTAAGTAAATACTCCAACACTTGAGCTCCCAACAACAGCACTAAGAAGTAGCTACCAAATGTTATATTAGTACAGTATGTACCACAGTTAACTTCATGCAGTTGTGATTTTCTGCTGTGTATTTACGTTTGTTTAAATTTGTCTTCACTGCAAATGGTGCCATGTATGGTATGTGTTTGTAGGCAAAAGTACTGACAACTTTTAACTTTTTATAACAGTTAAATAGTCAAATTTATGTTGTTCAAGGGTCAACTGAACTTTTAGAAAACATTTGTTCCCACTAATGTATTATATTTCCTAAGCTTTCACTGGGGGATTCCTGTGGATTTAAAATAAATAAACATGGAGGAAAAAAGCAAATAAAATTAAAATCCAGAAGAATGCTTACTTCCTGAGCTTCTAAAAGTGACAACATAGTTGGTATTCCAGCCATCTACACGTGGAACAACCAGGAGCACCAACAGTCCACGACACAGCAGCATAAACTAATGTAGGGGTGAGCATTCATTAAAACCCGTTCAAGGCTCGATGATACCTGACAGCATCATCATACCCACAGTTAAGTACTATGGGAATACAAAGTTCAAGTCAATGCATGACTTGGGAGAATGAGTCCTAGAAATGATCTAGATGTGAGGACAAAGAGGATGTGCTACCTACTGTAGAAGCTCTACCAGCCGACCACCCCGGGAGTGCAGCAAACTGTCAGCACACGGAAGG